ATGCAATTTTGACAGATGTACCCCACCCGATAACCAAGAGGGTGTCGTCCTGTGTGTGATTGAAGGACATCAGACTTCAGTTTTATCAAGAGATAATACAACAATGAATTATACAATGATCATGCAGCAGCTCAAATAACAAGAACAAGTCATAAATTTAACAATAGCTGCGTACTCCGCCTGCCAGAATGACAAGTCCCAGTAGCATGCATGTCTACTTAGAGATTTGACAAACCTGCCAAACCAGGTGAGGAGGCAATAGCTCGGGCCGGGGACTATTGCGTGGTCTTTCAATAAAAGTTATACGCTGGTCATTGGCGGTATCATAAACCTTCACTCCTGCATCATTTGCCCAAGCAACAAGACTTGTTCGCCATTTCACTGCATGTATTGGACCTTCACCAGAGTGCAGAACCTGCTTTTTATTTATTTATTTTTTTTGAAGACGTTATTTGCATGGTTGATAAAAAATGAATTGAAGGACTAGTGATCAATTGCGTGCCAAGGGTTAGAAGAATCGCAAACCTGATCACGATAGCCTAACCATTTCTTTGAATTAAGAAATAAATGGCCTGCTAAACCACCTGCGACGAATCTCCTAGATGTTTTTCTTGAATAATCTGGGTCAAGAGCAATTGCCTTCAACGGGCGATGATACTCAAATTTTATTTTCTCATCCGTGAAAAGGCCGTTTATTACAACCGATCCGTCATCAGAACAGCTTCCAATATATTCACCTTCTATGTCGAAGCAAAGGTCGTTAACAACTGCAGCATGAGCCGATAATTCTTTCACCTGTAATAGGGAAACTCAATTAGAGAGAGTTTAGAACAATACAATGGTACGTCTGCTATTGGCTGTGGCATTTCAGAAGCTACAAGCAATCCTCCATTCATGACACTGCATGCAATATATGATGCGTACAGCGTAGTCTCTTAAGGACCCTGAGACTGATTGTACAAGAGATGATAGCCGTAATTCTTGACAATCACTTGAAGAAACAGCACTTCAAACCAGTCTTGCTCATTCTAAAATAAAAGCTAGGGAAAGGAGCCATTTTGAGGCTGGTAACACACGTTACACAGCCTAACTCTCATGAAGAAAACACTCGCTATAAAAACACATAAACAAGTTCCAGAAAGAATGAAAAATAGTTAAAAAGAAAAAAAGGAAACATAGTAGAAAGCCCCAACGTTGACACGAATGCTCGATTTTTGAATAAATAGTGCAACACCAGACGAAATTGGATCCAAAAGACCCATCGTCCACTATAAATGACGAAATGAGATGAAAGAGTGTTAAGCCACCTGATTTCCAAGAAAATCTAGGATATGAACGGTGCCAGCATGGGTGCCAAGAGCGATCATCCGCTCGGCAACCGCGATACAGGACGCCGCATCACTCGCTAACAAGGAAGGTATGCTGCCTCCCAATCTCTGGTACTTAAGCCTAGGCTCCTCTTCATCTTCCCCTTCCTCTTCCTCTTCGTCCTCCTCCTCCTCTTCTTCGTCCTCCTCTTCTCGCTCGTCATCTCCTTCGACGCCGTTCTCAGACGGAATCGACGCCATTCTAAATCGTTACTCTAATCCAAGTTCAGTTGGAAGGGAAGGATTAAAGGAAGGAGTTGATCTGTAAACTGTAATGGTCAGGTAAGAAGTTCTCTTTTATTTTACCAGGTTTCGTTTTTCGTGAAGGTGAAGCAGATGATGGACGGGTTAGCGTGGAGGATATATTGCATTAGCTGAATTAATGGTATTAATTGGCTACGCGACAACAGCAAAACGTGCTGAGTAATGAGGGGAGGCACCATGCCCTCGCATACTTATATTATAAATACGGTCTCCGCCTATTGTTTTATTATTTAGTCTACACTCTACACCAGGCAAATCTTTATTTTTAAAAAAAATCATATGATCTCATCTTTATAGTACAAACTTTTATATATATCCAAGCCCAAAAAAAACTATTAATTCATATATATAATATTATTAGCTAATCCAAACCTCTAACATTTCCACCTGGCTTTGGAGACTAATAAAATAAAAGAGAAATTAACTAGAACAACTTAATCCCTGCTATTATAAGGATTGAGAATCGATCTAAAGTTTTATGAATTAAAAATTATATTTTCTGAAAAAACTATAATAGTAGTATATTTTTTGTAAAAGTACATTTTCTATCGTTTAATTTTACATAATATCTTTTTTTCCCTAATTTCATAAAGTATATTTTTAGATATCTAATTTTAATATTATTAATCTCAGTAATAGGAGGTGGGATTGCAATCTTAAACATTGACAAACTATTATCAGACACTAACATTTCAAGTTTGATTTAAAAAAAATGATTAGACTAGAAGATCATCATAGAACTTTTTATTGAAAAAATTAGAGATAAAATTAAAGCCTTGAATAAACTAGGGTAATTTTGCCTTGTAAAACTTATTATATGTTTGGATGATAACTTTGACTAATAAGAATTAGCAAGAAAGAATAATTTTGTCATTTTTATGATGTCTTTTAAGTCGTCAAAAGAATACCTTCTTATCTTCTGAGATTTGAAAGTTACAATTTGGTCACACTCAAGGGAATTAAATACAAAAAGTTCTTTAAAATCACAAAATTATTCTAAAGTCTTAAAAGAATTTTTTACAATAAATTTTATTTGTTTAATTACCAAATTACTATTTTTTTTAAATTTGTATTGACAGCTAAAAGAGTAGTTATTGTCAATCCTTGCACCTTAAGTTGTCAACAACTGCTCTTTCGGTTGTCAATACAAACTTTTAAAAAAATAATAAGGGCAATTTAGTAATTAAAAAATTTATTACAAAATTTTTTTTTGAGACTTTAAAATAATTTTATGATTTTAAAAGATCTTTTTATATTTAATTCTTTTTCATGGGACCTAATTATAATTTTTCCTACTTAAATTCAACTTAAGAAAATAGCTTTTGTGCAACTAACACCTTCGGCATTTCCCCCTTTCCCCCCTTTGGGTATAAATACATACCCAAGTGTAATCTTGTTTTTGGGCCTAGAGCTGACACATGCCCTAGGGACTTATGGTTGGAAGTTAAAATTTAGTCATGGCCCATTATTGTAATGGGCCCAATCACAAGCTCTTTTCCTGAGAGCTATTTCCTTTTGAACGGACCCATATATTTTATTGGCTGATGATAAGAACTTGTGTTTCTCATGTGGAAGGGAAAAAAATTACCCGTAGATTCCAGAAAATTGAATATAGAAATATAAAGTTTGATCTGTAATCATTAATTTTTTGAAACTTTTCTACAGTCAATTTCCTTGCCGAAAACCTATAGATAACTTTCCCCGTAAAATATATGCACAAAATCAATATCAATATAAAGCCATATTATTTATAAGCCACAGCCCAACTCCCCCCCTAAAATTTTCCAACCCAATGAAAAGCAAAAAAAAAGAAAAGAAAAGGAGAGGCAACTCAAATACTACCTCCGGTCCTTAATATAAGACCCTATTTGACTTTTATTTTGGTCCTAAATATAAAACCCCAATCCACTTTGTTTCACATATTTACTCAATTTTTTTCAAGATAGTCCTTCTAATAATTATAGTTCTAATCAATATACTTGATTAGTAAGGATATTTTAGGAAAGACAACACCTATTTAGAACAAATAACTAACTCAACTTACTTCTTTAATCTCCTCAAATTAATCAACTAGCTCTTATAATTAGGATTGGAGGTAGTATAAAGAAACAGGACGCAGCCATTGATCAGATTGAGGTTAGTCCCGTCTTTCCCTTTCTTTGATTCAGAGCATTCTTCTTGAACCACGCTTCAACTCCCTTTTCCCGCACTAATCACAACCATGTTACCCGTGTTTTGTGACTTATTACCTTCTGTTCTTAATACAATAACTAGTTTAATTTTTAATTTGATCATAAATATAAAACTTCAATTCTCTTCATCTCTTATATTTATCTATTTTTTTAAAGATAGTTTTTGTAATAATTACACATATTAAATGTTTTATCAAATGATAATTTTAGTTAATACTACCTCCGGTCCTTAATATAAGACCCTGTTTGACTTTTAGTTTGGTTCTAATTATAAGACCCCAATCCATTTTGTCTCTCATATTTATGCATTTTTTCCCAAGATAATCCTTCTAATAATGATAGTTCTAACCAATACACTTAATTAGCAAGGATATTTTAGGAATGACAACACTTATTTGTTACAAATAACTAATTTAACTTAGTTCCTTAATCTCTTCAAATTAGTCAACTGGGTCTTATAATTAGGACCGGAGGTAGTATATATTATTAGTAAGGGTATTTTAGAGAAAACAATGCTTATTTATTACAAGTAACTAACTTAACAAACTTTCTTAGTTTACTCAAATTAATCAATTAGTTTTTATATTAATTACAAGAGGCACTGTTAATTCTGCCAACCAACATCTATTCAAAGGCAATCTGAGAAAAGCAAGCCCTTTTCACTCCACTCACCATTACTGTGTATTACGGTGCCAATAATCAATGCTTTTAATTACTGTTTAGTTCCTTTTCCTTTGTCTTTGATATTTATGGGATCACGATGCTATCATTGACCTGTCCATAGGAATAAAATGTATAAACAACATTAATGATTGTTATCCTGCCACGTGAGTCAAAAGCGACAAGTCCTTTGCAAAAAGCAAGTGGGCTTAATTTGTCACCAAAGTAACCACATAATGGTTAGCTGCAATATCTAAAAGAATCTGATATATTGTCGCGTCGGTTCTTCTCACGAGCCAAAGAGGAATGCACTCTCATTACTTGTCCTCGTGAACCTTGCTCAAACAACCTAACTAGAATATAATATGTCAATTTTAAGGAAAAACAATATTGGTTAGGTTTTATACCTGTTAGTTTTCATATAATTTAAAACGTTAGAAAAATTTTGTGCAATACGTACAACTAATTTTTATTAATATGCCGTTAAACTTTGTCAGCACAACACTAGTACAACGCGTACTTAAACTTTTGCGTACAAATTAATTGGCTTAAATATTTGAATTTGAATGTTTAAAACAACACATTTCTTACATAAAGGAAATCATATGGAATCTGCAGACGTTGGACATTTGATAGCAGAATCCTAGTTCGAAGGATTCTGACGGAGACAACTCCAGGAGGATGCGTATCTCGCTCTTCCTCCCTAGCTGACCCCTATATCTGCCATTATTGCATATTGCTTCATTCCTTTTAAGAACTAAGAACATGCCCTTTCTTCAGTCAAGAGCATTGCTTTGCATGAATTCAGGAGTAGCAGTCAGATTTCTGGACTTATCAGTTCTTTCACCCAGCAAGTACTATATCTTGTTCAAGGAGACACCACATTACAAGATTTTTTTTTTTTATCAGTATATTTAAAGTCACCAAGAAAAGACATGGAAAATGGAACTTAAATAATGGTTTGCTGCAGCCCCGTGACGATAAAGTTCTTCATTATTGTCCTCTGTTTGTTCCTTGCCGTCAAGCTTATTATATATATAGGAGCCGATAATCTGCTTGTCTTTTAACTGGAAGCAGCTGGTGAATCCGTGAAACCACCGGCCATAGTTAAGGCCATGCAAGGCTGATCGCTAGGTACCTGCATTTACGTACAAATAAGAATATAATAAAGCAACTCAAGCATGACTTCTACAGCTGGTAGCTGTTAGACTTAAATTAAAGGATGTGTGTGTGTGTGTGTGTTTCTCTCTCTCAATGGCTTACCATATGGCCAGCACCAAGAATCCAATAGAAACGAAGGTTCTTGTATGACTTCACGAACCCTTTGGTCTTTTTGTTACTTCCACAGTAGAGTGGTGTTCTTTCCTTCCTCAAGAAATTTGGAAGCCCTTCCCACCTGCACATTTTTCAAAAAATAAAAAATAAAAATCGAAAGAAAGAGAGAAGGAAGAAGAAGTGGCACATTGAATAAAGCCTTTTCCTAAATAAATTTGCTTTGGATGAATTAGCTGGAGAAAAGAAGAGTTACTTGAGCTTCCTAAGCCAAGCTTCAACTCCCTTGGTTGCACAAATAACATCAAGCTACAACAATTACAATTATTAATTATTATCAAACTAATTAAATTAAATAGACAAAGACAAGGGAAAAAAAAACATCACGTGGCATCATTCACCGGTGTCTATTAAAGAAAATTGGCCCATTCGTCAAATGAAATTAATGTTTGACACATTATTAGGTAGTGAGTAAAGGCAGGAGTTGTTGAGAGAGAGACTTACTTGTCCATTGTACACATTCACTTTCACTCCTTTTGCGAGCAGCTGGTCCACCTGACAGACAGAACACAACTTGTCAATTTTTATTTCCAGAAAGGCTTACGCTGCCATAAAACATCTTCATTTATTTTTAAGATTTTTTTTTTATAAAAAAAAACACTGAGGAACTCATGGATGGAACATGCAAGGAAAGATTTATCTGCTCATTACAAGTACCTCATCGATCCTTGGTTTCATAAAATCAACCTCAAAACTATCGAACACAGCATCTGACTGCAGTTGCCATCTGTCATCACCACATTTTCTAGCTTGTCATGATTTTTAACATTAAAATATGATTCCCAGACCGTGAAATAATTAGCCTTTAAAACTTACGTCACATTCTTTGGGATGATCCCCAGCTTTTCCTTGATCTCTCCGTTTAACAACCTCACAATTTCTTCATCTCCAACTCTTAATGAAGACAAATATTTGGAGTAGCGTTTCTTTCCAGTCCCTTTGAGTAAACTCATCCCCGTTCCTGATAAGGACACTGACCCATCCTCCCAAGAATCTAACAGAAAATTGTAGATATCCTTCCCAAAAACAAATGATAATCGCAATGATAATTTTGCACAGCTAGCTTGGTTTCAGGGAAAAAATATAGAATAGAAATTACAGTACCATATAGTTGCTGCTGGAAAAGATCTCGGCCTCAAGTTCGCGCCATGAATCGGTTGCGTTAACAAATAGGCCATCCTCTAGTTGCTTCTTGATCTTCCGAGCTATTCTGTTCTCTAAAATGGGTTTGTTAGATAACTGAGAAACTCTTGATAGAACCAGATTATGCTTTTCTCTTATAAATTTTGGTTGGATCCACGAAGAAGGACCTGTTGGATCTTCGAAGCCCGTGATCATCAAGTCTTGAGACGTCTTTGAGAAGGGGACCCCATGAGAACTGCCAAGGCCATGAAACACTGAAAATGCAGAGTCTCAAAATATAACGGTAAGCAGAGTATTAATTCAAGCGCATACCACGAAATCTTCTGGTGAGATCCAACTATTCCCTAATGCCACGCCTGCATAAGATCTGGCCTCTAAGAACTATTCTAACAGAATCATCGCATTGATAAATCTAAAGGGCTTTCACGGAGGGTTCATTACCTCCAAGCTTGACAAACAATTTGCCGGCTTCAATGGCTTTAAGAGCAGATAATCCCAGAGTAGCTGCGAACTTTCCACCGTAAGACTCTCCCACAATGTAGAGAGGACTCTTTTGGAGACTTTTGTTCTTATTGAATATCTTAATCAGCAAAGTCGTCAAGTCAGTGGCCGCTTCTTTATCAGTTTTCACGAGAAGTTCGGTGTGCTCCACATAACTGTACCCAGTTCCCACTGGATTGTCCTACATTTTTATTCGGCGAAAGAACCAACGATTCGATCAGAAAAGCTATAATTTTAACCATAAAGTCAATTGCTAGAAGACGAACAGTTTTCTTTCAATATGGCTGCGTTAATTACCACGAACAAGAGATCTGCTTTTCGCAACCAGGTGGAATTTCTTGGCTTCAACCTGACGTCTAGAGGTCCAACCTCTTCAAAGTTTCCATACCCAATTCCTGAAGCACCCTGTTACAAATTCATAAATTTGGGAGGAAACATGCATGAACAGTATCATAACTCAGAATAAAGACAGAATCTGCATTTATTTCTATGTTAGTTTGGCCTCCGTTGTGATACTCACGGGTCCTCCCTGCAACCAGAGAATGATCGGCCATGGCTTGGAGGGATTTTCTACTCTGTAAGGACTTCTGTAAAGCCACCAGAACAAGTGTGCTTCTGTGGTAACAATCCAAAGAACAACTGTTTGAAATATGGCAAAATGAATGCAGTTGCAGATTACAGAATTATAAAACATTCCGCTTACTGGGTCTGACTTCAACATATCCCCATTCCTCTAACCCATCATGGCTTCTCAAAGCTGTCACTGTTGTTGCAAGAAATGACAGTCCCAATATAAGAGAAGTGACGATCAAAGCGCACTGTTTATCCATTATGCTTAGTACAGCTGCGGGACTGAATAGGTGTATTAGTAATGACAAGTAATTTCAAACTTGCTTTCTTGGAAAGGAATAGAAGATTTAATAGGTTGGAGGCGACTTATACTTGACTAGAAGTTAAATAGTAACGAATTATTTCAAAGATAGGCTAAACTAATAGTCGAAGTTAAAATATAAAGGCAGCACCTCAGTTTAGACTTTTGAGAGATATAATTCTTCCACTCTCACGTCAAACCAAAAGGAAATCATCACAGATAATTAGTGGATGACAGAAAAGGAGATTCAAATTTATAGCCCCAAGGAAGATTAAACTTTAGAATGTTAGTTTCTTGCAAATAACTCTTTATATATATATATATATATATATATATATATTTGGAAGGAACAAAGACGTACAAGAATTAGAATATGCAACACTATCATTCTCTGAGTCTGAGCAGTATCGTGTATGTACGTATATAATGTCATTTGTATCCGTTCTAGTGAGGGAAAACAAAAAGAAAACAAGGGCCAATAGTTGTCTCTTAATTTGTCATTGCCTTGGTGTGGATATTTCTGCAAGTAGCAGAGATAAACAAGGGGGATGAAAGTTCATAAAGACAGGATCACGTGCGTAGAAGGAGATTGTGGTTGAGATGAGATAACAAAAGCGTGGCTAAATGGAATTAGTTCATTGTAGGTCTATGCTTTACGGTACTGTATGGAGAGTTTAAGATGGCTCATATTAAATTCACAAAATTTGTGTGGCTGCAATCTATGATAACAACAGGTTTCCTCTGCATTATTCTGCTCAAGATGAGTTTCCATTTTGATCCTGTCGTCACATCAATATCAACATTTACTATTTGGACCGATCTATCAACGTCTACTTTTACTGCTGCCACCAAGGATTTTCAACTAAATGCCACACAATTATTAACTGCAGAATTTATCTCCCAGAATGCTGCATTTAGCTTTCTATCATTTAAAATACAGAGAAGAAGGAGAAAAGAGTGGGAATTAAAAATACACAAGAAATTTTCCTCCCATGGGTTGGGTTATTTCAAATCTTGCTGTGTGCTTGGTATTGCTTTTGTTTGCTTGTTGAATCTCCTTTTTCTTTGTCGTGAGCTTTCCTGTTTTACATTATTCACTTTGTGGTGAGTTTGTAATAGAGCCCACCATATTCAATGCCACACAGGGTTGATCAGTGGGTACCTGCGGAAGCGAGCAAAGAAATAGTAAGACAAAACGAAGAACAGACATTGACACGTTATTTTCTGATTCTCCAAGGACACAGGATTGGATCAGAAAATTTTGCCATGTAGTCCACAACTAAATGGAATCTCTTAGCCGAAAAAAGAAATCATGGGATCTGTAGGTTATTGACTTTTCATTCACTCCTCTCCCCCCCCCCACCCCATTTCTGCCATTGCTTCCTTTTAAAGTTTTAAGGTTTTCCAGGTTTGACAGCAATACTTAGATTCTTAGAACATGTGAACCTATGATTATCTTCATTAATATAACTGTCTATTGGAGTAACGTGACGCGCTTTTGTGAATTAACTTTTTCAGATTTTTAGGGAGAAATAAAAAAGGGAATTTGCCTTCACGAAGGTAAAAGTAACAAAAATATGAGAAGCATAATAAAACCTATTACCTATGCATTTATTAACAACGCAACCAGCATGATGATGTGTACTTACAAAATGGCCAGCACCAAGGATCCAATAAAAGGACAAGTTTTTGTATGACTTGACAAAGCCTTTGGTGGTGCTTCCGTTATTTCTGCAGTAAAGGGGTGTTCTGTCTTTGTTCAGGAAACTTTGAAGCCCTTCCCACCTACAACAGTGGCGAGAAGCTATATTATCAGAAATAATAACAAGTCTTGGGGATAAATTAAATTATGGAGAGAAAGGGAGTTACTTGAGTTTCCTGATCCACGCTTCAGTCCCTTTAGTGGCACAAATGAGGTCAACCTACGATAATCACAGACAGATTATTTGACTATAATGACATAAAAAAATAGAAAAAGTTAATAAAAAGACTCTCATTTGGTTGAACGTGAAGATTAAAACAGGATCGTCACAGTCATCAAGTTTGAAAAAGACTCTTCTTTAATTGGTTGAGCTCAACATTTTTTTCAAAGATAGACAACTTGGAGAATAATTAAAGCTGACCATTCTTCGCCATCATCAATTCTCATAATTTAATAATAGCCGAAGTGCTGAGTGGGGAAAAAAAAAAAATCTTACTTGTCCGTTGTACACGGTCACATTGACTCCCTTGGCTAGCAGCTCATCTACCTGAGAAACTTCAACTAAAAGATGTCATATCACAAGAAATAGGGGGGAAGCTTTAGAATTAAACCCAGAAAGTAAAATGATCAGGTTTAACAATTTCCTGTAATATTGTTTAACCAAATTATCTTAATTAGAGTAAATTGATGACTCAGTCAGAGTTCCCATATTTATATCATCCCACCTCATTAATTCTTGGCTTCATAAAATCGCTTTCCAGGTATGTGAAAACATCGCCAGATTGCCCTCCCCATCTGTCAACATACAGGGGCTACTTGTGAAGAAAGATGGAAAATTTTAAAACTATATTTATGAGTTTCTTCAAGAAGTAAATCAGAGTACGTGATATCCTATTAATGTCAATAAAAATGAGTAGATTTAATGTCAATAAAAATGAGTAGAGTCCCAAAATTTGGAAATTTGAGGTCAGGAAACGGCTTACGTGACATTTTCGGGAATTATCTTCAACTTCTTCTTGATGACACCATTTAGTAAGGTGTCAAGATCAGCACCCCCACCTGGAGATGCCCTCCTTAAGGTAAGATATTTGGAGTATTGCCTCATTGCTATTTCTCTCGATAGTCCCAACTTCATTACTGATAATGTTGCTGAATCACTTCCCGAATCCAAGAGAAAATTATAAAAATCCTAAAATGACCCGAAAAGAAACCCAACACATTAAGGGAAACATTATGGTGTGAAGTACTAGAGTAATCAGTAAAAGGTAAGCAAGAAAACTGAATACTACCACATTGTTGCTGCTAGAGCTGATGACGGACTCAAGTTCACTCCACGAGTTGGTTGCATCGACGAATTTGCCATCCTCTAGTTGCTGCTTGATCTTCTGAGCTATACTGTTGTCTAAAATGTTATTGTTAGATATAATTGATATGATGATGGCATAATCTCTCTCACAAGGTGGAAGGGAATTGAGACACGACTACTTACCCATCTGATTTTTGCATGCCGTTGTCGTCAAGGCGAGAGACATCTTTTAGAAGAGGACCCCATGAGAACTGCAATGTGGGTATAAGGTGAAAGTTGAAAAAACAAGAACTCAGAAAGAAAGGGTGAGAGGTAAGAAGTGAGGACAATTCCAGTAGTTACCACAAAATCTTCAGGGGAGATCCAACTGTCCCCTAATGCCACCCCTGGGGAAAGGACACAAACTCAGTATCAATGAGTTGTTAGTTGATCTCATTCATGTAAAACTGAACAAGGGATAATTGCTAGTATACCTCCAAGAATAAGCTTCAATGTCTTGGCTTCAATAGCCTTGAGAGCGGATAATGCAAGAGTGGCAGCAAATTTCCCACCATAAGACTCTGCTACGATGTACAGAGGACTGCGTTGAAGGCTTTCATTCTTACTGAATATCTCAACCAACAACGTAGTCAAGTCAGTGGCTGCTTCGTGATCTGTTTTCACAAACAACTTTTGATCCTCCACGTAACTATATCCCGTTCCAACTGGATTGTCCTATATTATAACAGCTAAAGCATTGAGAATCGAGGAATGGCCACAGAAGGGGGCAAAGGGGATCTGAAATTATACCACAAACAGGAGATCTGCTTTTCTCAACCAAGTGGAATTCCGAGGGTTCAAATTGGTGTCCAATGGTCCAACCTCCTCGAAATTTCCAATACCAACTCCTGAAGCACCCTGTTCATTGCTCACAGTTCTCAGATTCTGGCTTCCTCTTGTTGTTTGTTCGGTTAATAGCTAGTTAAAGTAATACTTACAGGTCCCCCCTGCAACCAAAGGATGATTGGCCAGGGCTTGGAGGGATCTTCAACTCTATAGGGACTTCTGTAAAGCCACCAGAACATGTGGGCTTCTGTGATAAGACATTCCAAAGTGAAAAACAGAGTAATTGAACTATTACGACAAGAAGGATGCAACTTTGTACCTACGAGTCAAAAAAACATATTGTATAATTACAGATATGCAATGGATTTGGCTTACTGGGTCTGACTTGTACGTATCCCCATTCCTCTGATCCATCTTGAGTTTTCAAGGCTATCGCTGGTCCTCCGTGAGATAGCAGAGGAAGACACAGCAGAGTGACAAGAAGAAGACAGAGCTTTTCCATTTGAAGAAAGGGAGGCAATAACAGAGAATCAGTGAAATGAAGGGCAACAAAGGAGATAGAGGATTAAAAGGAGTCAAGTATGGAGCGTGCATCATTGGCCGAGAAAAAAAAGTATGGAGCCATGTGTTGGCAGTTTGCGAAATGCATACAACAAAAAAGATGAAAACATTATAAGAGTCTGGTTTAAGCAGAAGCAGAAAATAAGGGATAAAAAAAAATGGATTTTTCATTTTCAGGCAAGAGTAACCTTGACGGGAAGGTACTCTTTCTAAGAGGCTGTTGTGTGAGAAAGTACAGAGTTAAACAGAGAGTGGAAGGATGAAAACCCGTAAAAGGCACGTCATAAAAGGATCGGGAAAATTGAAAGAGGAAAAAAAAAAAAAGATTGTAGTTGCTTTCTTTACGTTACAAGAACCTACATGTAGTTGCTTTTTTTTCAGGCAAAAAAAAAAAAGTCCTTTCTTTAGAATACAAAATGACAAAGACAGTAGAAGGAAAAGATTCCGAACTGAAATGATAGGGTGTTTTTTGACCAACGGTGCCGTAAGTTATTCGTGTGAAGAAATTAAATTCTGAGTAAAGATACAGAGCTCACTCGTGGATATATAAAAAAAGTACGAGGCAAGATAGGAGAGGAAATTACTGAGGAATGGAAATTAAAGGATTGGGCAGTGTGGACTAAAAAGTTGCGTATAGAAATTAAATTCCGTTTGAAGAAAGGGACGTGGCTGGAAAAATACTATAATTTCTAGGAAAATGGAAAATACTATTACCCTGCGGCTGATCCCTCTCCGGGTGTAGTTGAAGACTTGCAATAGTGGTCGTGAAGTCACATTGCCCATCATTAGCAGTTTATAGTGTCAAATATATGATGATTATGCGATGCATTAGTATAATATAATACAAAGTGGAATGATTAAAATAAATAATTTGTGGGGTTAGAGATAATATTCTAACCTGAACACCAGAACAAAAGACAGATGACAGGGTGTCAGAGATGCATGTGTACTGAGTGTTTGGTTATGTTGATAGGAGAATGAGTGGTCTTTATTCTGCACAGTGGATATGATATGGCGTGGTAGTTGTAATTCATATATCGAAGTGCTCACTCTTATCCCTCCACTTTCTATTGGCAACTTGGCGTGCATCCCATGAAAGTAGGAAACTTCACATTTTAGTTCCACATAGTATAATCTTCTCATAAAACCAGAGAATGCAACTTCTTGATTTGAAAGGGAAAAAAAAAAAAGACTCAAGTTTAATCCTCTGTGAAACAACAGTTCTCGACCTGCCCCATTTATAGTCTGCATGAAAATGTTGTTGTGAAAGGGGCAAATAATTAAATGATAGGCTCCTTATTTGTACTTGCACTTGGGGAGAGTATTGAAATAACCTCCTCTGCAATTCAAGATTTGGCAGTTGGTCCTCCTACGCCACAACTCTGACATTTATTTCACTTTTGACTGGTAAAATTTATGGCGGTACCAAAGGCATCCTAACTAATCATTATTCCTAAATCATTAATGGCTGCGTAATTATCTAATATGGTTACTTTAATTATCTGCAAAATCCAACAGTGGACAAAAAAAAACAGTTGTCATGAGTCATGACAATTAAGAAGGAAAGAGGGAACAAAATGAATTTGTCAAGTGATTAATTATGAATAAGACAGAATTAAGCGGCGACCAGGGATATGGTTACGCGCATTCAAAGGAGGATGGTAAGTGCAGAAAATGCAGAAAGGCAAGAGAGGGGGGAGGGTGGGGACGCAAGAGTAGTTAAGAATTAATTAAGAACACAACCAGCGGGTATTTGGCGTACCATGATAGATAATTAAGGTTATTAGGATGGGGGGAGACTGGGAGCATTTGTTTGTTTATAACTTGACTTGCTGTCATTGTCAGGCTTCCTCACTCTCTATCACATGCTTCTTAAACAGTGTTCTTTAATTAAGAATGATGGTTTTTGGCCAAACAAAATGAAGAAGAATGATGACGTGTCCTCCGTGCTCGGCCTCACGACCCAAGTGAGGGGGGGGATAATAATGAAAATAACAAAGCGTCGGCTTTGTTACATATATGTGATCCAAATTAATACTCCTTCTGGGGGATAAACTGCTAAACAGAGCCATTCGGGTTTTTTTTTTTTTGGTATAAGAAAAGTGGTTATGTCGGCTGGGAGACTTGAAGCTAACTTGGATTTTGGGCCATTGATATGGAGATGGGTAGCTACACATGATCTTGAACCCACAAACAAATAGGCCTCCCACCCTCGTCCTCAGTACTTTTTGTCGGGTTAATAACTAGGCCCACTAGTGGCTTTTGCATTAAAAATCTAACCCAAAAGAAAAAAGCAAATGAAAAAATGTTTATGATTCTCTATTCTTATTGTTTTTTTTTTTTTTCATTTTCTTTAAAAAAATTTGGAATTTGAGACCAGATCCACTCTATTAACCTTAATTCAGAAATTTTTTTAGAACAATTAATTTTTTTGCTGAAAAAAATAAAATCATTACAATAATTCAATATCTTTAGAATATTATTGTTTATAAACTAATATTAAATAATATATACTATTTTATGTTTATATAATAGTACTATTAGAATATATAAAATAAAGAATAAAAAATTCAAGGATTTAATTAAAAATAAGGTGAACTATAAGGACTTGATAAAAAGAAAAATAAATACAAGGACCTAATTAAAAACAGGTGAAAGTATAAGGACCTGATAAAAAGAAAAAAAACTACAAGGACTAATTCAAAATTAGTTGAAACTATAAGGAGTTGTGGATTAATTATCCCATTTTTATAACGTTTAAAAAGAAACTAACCAAAAAGAAAAAAGCAAATGAAAAAATGTTTATGATTCTCTATTCTTATTGTTTTTTTTTTCATTTTTTTTAAAAAATTTTGGAATTTGAGACCAGATCCACTCTATTAACCTTACAAATTTCTATATCACTTCTGAAAAGTGAAAAAATATTAGTTATATTTATCGTATTTTTTCTGAAGTAAATATGAAATCTCACGTTAGATGCTCGCCCGACTTATGATCTTACCAAATAACAAAAAAAACTAGAAATTGATTTTTCCCCAACAAGAGCACCCACGGTATAAATCATCCAAGTAGTAATGTAATTCAGTATTATATGCATGGCAATTGATTTATTTCCACTAGTTATATTCTGTTTAGACTTTAAACTGAACTAACATATTTAATTTTTCATTAATTGTATATTGCACGTTTTCGATTTCTTATTGACTCTAGAGATTTTCGCGTTCTTGTTTTATGTAAAATTTTCCGGGTTTCTCATTTGTGTTTAATTATACTGTAAATCAATGACAAAACACATAGTGCGTCCAGATGGACTTGGTTGCACGACAATTTTGCATGCATAATACTGTCTTCGGTTCTAATTATAAGAGCTAGTTGATTAATTTGAGGAGATTAAAAAAATAAGTTAAGTTAGTTATTTGTAATGAATAGATGTTATTTTTTCTAAAATATCCTTACTAATCAAATGTATTGGCTATAACTATCATTATTAGAAGGAGTTCTTTGAAAAAAAAAATGTATAAATATGAGAAATAAAGTGGATTGAGATCTTATATTTAAGATCAAAGTAAAAGTCAAACGAGGTCTTATATTAATGATACGAGGTAGTATTATTATTAATAAATAGTTAATGATTCAAGTAATAATAATGCATCTTGATATTCCTTCCTCGTTGCAGACTTCCCATATTTCATGTAAGAAGCAGGTGAAATTGAGAGGTGCGGGTGAATAAAATGTGGCATAAAGAAATCATAAGGGAAGAGAAGGTATTTTTCGAATTTTTTTATATTTTTTAATACATCTCTCAAATCCTGTTTTGCTTGCAGAAAAAATAAAATAAAATAAGAGATTAATCAACGAAGCCGTGCTTCCAAAAATATTGAAATTTAGGGGAAAAATTTAAAAAAAATGATCTGTACGTAACTTTAAAGATCATGAACTTATATGCAATTTAATAAAACATAATATAAGAGTTAGTTGGTGATTCAATTTAGTTACAAATATAAAATTACAATTCACTTTGTCTTTGCCTCCTACGACATTTATTCATTTTTCTTGAAGGAGTCATATGATAAATACACATATTAAAATATTTTCATTTAAAGGCATATAATTGATAAAGATATTTTTTTAAAAAAATTACTTATTTATTATAAATAACTAACTCAACTAATTTTTTTTATTGACAAATTAGTTATCTATCCCCATATTGAGAACAGGACTACAGGAGGTAGTGTTAACCGATAAAAATTAAATAACAAGAGGAAATTTTATGACTCCCATGTGTAAGACAGATGAAGCGGAACCAACAAAGAAAGACAGACGCTAGTTCCAGCGAGAGAGAAGAGCTTGCTTAATTTCATGGTTATATTATGGTGATTAAATTAAAGGAGAATAAGGAGGGAGATAGAATAGAATGACTAGAAGCTTCCCAACTGAAACACCATTAAGTACTTCATAGTACTGTCTTTGTTGGGATAATTTTGCCATTGGCCTCCTTGGCTTGCCACGCACACACGTTCGCACACGACATTAAATACATTAAAATTTGCTTCTTATTATTGAGAGAACTTTTCTGAACAGTGAAATGGAAACTGCTAAGGCCAGATGTTATTACAGTTCGCCATTGGCTCAGAACGAACAGGTGTGCTTCATCATCATGTGATTGCGGTTTCAGGGGGAGAAGCCATGAAACTGAAATTCCCTCTCTTCCTCCTTCCTCCTCATCTTCTCTCAGGAATCCGGTGCCTCTCTCTCCAGCAAAGCCAGCAAACTTTTATTCACTATTCCCCAGAATCACACTCAACAGTAAAAACAAAAAAACAGATGATAAATGTACATTAAAGATGAGTTCTACATTAATATCACACTGCATTTATTTGACGTGGTGAACAAGTATTTTTCTAAATATTTATCAAGTACTGAAAGAAAAAAGTTAGATATAGATAAACATAAAATGATATAATTACTATTCTATACAATTAATATATACTCAATTAATGTGTAACTGAACTATTCAATAGAAAGAAACAAATGTTTTTTAAAATAAATAGTAGTATAAAGTAATGAGTATGGCCATAGATGCAACGCAGGCAAGCCATATAATTCCAACAAGTTCCTCGATCTCGTCAACTTCCAAGCTTCTCTCAGCAGAGATGCTGTCAAGAGCTATATATAACTGACAGTGCGTACGTGCGTTTCAAACCCAAATTACAAATTTGAGAAAACAAGAGACATCCGAAGTAGCTAGCGGCGCCTCCGACGGATTCCTTGTATCTCTCTCACTACCCTTCTTCTTTCTGTGATATCTCTGTTATTATTTATCTATACCCTCTCACCCTTCTGTTTTTGTAATTGTACTTGAATTATATTGTCCTTCTTCAGATAGCCAGCAATGTCTACGTCGGATACCACAGAGCAGCCGCCAGATGATCTGGAAGCTCAGTTTTTAAGTCGGATGGCGAAGCTGACAATCAAAGAACCGGAGGTGAACGATATGGACGACGAGCTGTGCAAAACTCCGACGAGGCCAGAAAACCAAATACGCGTTCTCAACTGTCCGCCTGCACCCAGAAAGAAAAGACCAGCTCCTTCATCAACTTCTAAGCGCCTCTACACCGTTCAGTACGTCATCGTGCTTCAGGAGACCATAGACGCTTTCTTCCGAGCTTCTGGCGAGTCATCCAGGGTTGTCAAGAGGCGCAGAATTAATTAAACAGGCTCAAGTTATAGTCTTTCTGGCGGTTCTATGCTTGCTTGTGGACTTTGGTTTTTCGGAGTTGTCGGTCATATGTGATATGTGTATTGCTTGTCCGTGTTGTTTCTTAGTATTTTCGTACTTCTGCTTTGTTGTTTCCCTGTGTCATGACCTCTGTATTGGTGTCAGTAATGAGTTAGCTGGCTATGTTACCGCTTCAATGAGTTTGCTGGGTTATATATTCTTGCTGTCGTCGATTATCTCTTTCCGCAGAAAATAAATAAAGTTGAAAAGACTTCTTTCTTCATTCAAAATGAATAGTTTGCATGCAATTTCATTGAAGAAGCTCGGCCATAATTCCACAGCACAGAGAGAGAGAGAGAGAGAGAGCTGAACATGCGCAATACAAGAGTTCTTGTGGACAAGAATATTCATTGATCAGTTTCGTCTTACCGCGATCTGCAGCTGTACTTTGTCTGTTGTGAAGAGTGAGTAAGGTGTGTAGGTCCCACTAGTCAATGGGACCCACACAAACCCTCAATCTCTCTCTCATCCGGCGATGTAAGAATCCATGAGTCATGGACCATGACAGAGAGGGATCACCGGAGAAATTTTCAGAGCTCTACACTTAATTAATCACCTTTAATGGTTTTGTTCTGTTTTCCGCGACAGTGAAAGCCGAAACTGTTTTCACGTCGAATTGCGTGCTACGGCACATTACATGATCAGCTTGAAAGGGACTGTCATCTATAAGAATACCAGAAACAATAACATCCTATAGCATCAATATATATATATATATATATATATATATATGATGGTGCTTTAATTTAATTTAATTTGCTTCTGTGTTGTCTTCGAAGTTTAATTAATTTGCGTCACGCCTTCAAGAAAGACTTTTACATATATTATATTTACCACGATCCTTAATGTCGACCATCATTTCATGTATATATGTTTGTACGTGACATCTTCATTTCCTGCAAAAGGTTGCAACAAGGTTTAATATGATAAGGTTCGACGCAAGCTAAGTTTGTTCCCACCAGCCGTTTAGGAAAAACAATGAACAAACAAAAACTCATGTAGCCGCTAGCAAGTGTAGTACACTGTAGTCCAGTTCAATTAATGATCGGTGGCCCTTATTTATGATCCTTCACCATGTTCATAACTCTAGATCATTTGTCGTATCAGGCGGCTCTCAACCTCTTGGGGTGATTTAGTTCAAACATTTAATTAACCCTGCAACACTTTCCAGGCCCAACCCCAACCCCGTAATTACTACTCCACTAGCAGCTTGTGCTATTCAGGTGTGGATCATCTGAGACGACTGGATGAAGCTGATTAATTCAACAACGACGCGGCAAAATGCAAGATTCCCCGTTACCCTTTAGCTCCGCCGCAGCCGCCCGCCGCCGCCGTCAACTGAAAAATCAATTCCGGCACGTCCCAACAACACCTTATTGAATCCTTAAAAATAAAAGCCTCTTAAAAATCTTGTTCCCATGTTCCCTCGCACCTCCGTATGCAAATACCACAAACTCGTCAAAGATGGGATTTTGCATAAGAAGGCGATCATTCCGCTCTCGCCGACCACAATAGCGGGGCCATGGACTGATATCACTCCATTCTTTCAATCCCATAATTCTCAAATGCTCAGTGTTTGTTCCTTCTCATATACAACATCCTTCTGCTATACGCACGATGCTGAATATTCCATTTTCAATGTTGACGGCTACTGTATCAAGTGCCGTTTCCAAATACTAAAACTACTAGATATTTCTTTCTTTTTATAATAAAAGAAACTAGGGATTTTTAATTATTTCTGGATATAACACGCTTGTTGTTGGAAATATTGAAATTTGTTTGTGTAATTGTGGCTATATTCGGGGGATAGATTGATGAGTAGATTAAGGAAATAAGTTAAGTTAGTTATTTATAATAAATGGAGTGTTGTCTTTTCTAAAATATCTCTACTAATCAAGTATATTAGTTAGAATTAAAATTATTAGGACTACTTTAAAAAAATACAAATATGAGAGACAAATGGATTTGAATCTTTTATTTAGAATCAAAATAAAAGTTAACGAGGGTCTTAATTAAGAACCAGAGGTAGTAAAATAAAATTGAAGAGTTAAAATGGAAGAAAACGCTCTACCGTATTACTCCTTTCAGTCCTTATAAGCTTTAAATATGGAAGGGGTGTGGTTCATTTTATAAGTTTCAATTTGGATTTGTCTTAACATTTAATGTATTTTTTCTATTTTTGCCTTTAAGTATTTATTCTCTCTTCTTTATTATACTTTCTTCTATTATATTTCCCCGTACTTTTATCCTTTTTCTCATTTATTATAAGGGTATATTTGAAAATAAAACTGTATTTCTAACTTATTTATTGCTTTTAACTAATTTTAATTAGCAGCTTATTATTCGTGAATTATTTATTTGAAACTTATTAAAGAGAAAGGGAATAAATATGCTGCATACGTTGGTATTAGTGCCACTAATTTATTCGTCGCTTGTGGGTTGAATAGCTGTCGTACGCTCTATTAATTAATCCCCAAATACAGATTTGTAATAGGACAAGATTTAACCGGAAATCAAATATATTTAACGACGGGCAGCATTTTGTGTGAATTGATTCGGAAAAATAATTATACCGTGGGTGGACAATATAGTGATCCATTAATTAATCTTCCCATGCAGAAACTAACCACGTATCTGCTCCTTCGATTGGCACTTGTAACCTGCCCCACAGACGTCAACCTCGTAATTCCCCAAGACACATATATGTAATAAAATTTAACATTTACACAGATACTGCCTTAGTTTTTCCATTTCTACCATGACTTCATCAAAGCGTGCCGGGAACATGAAGGGAAGCCCAGGCGGATCGGATCACGGAGATGCTCTTATGGCTGAAGCAAGTTCTGTGACTACTGAAGATACCCAAAATTGTGAAAGCTCTGAAATGAAAGAAGAGGCCTTAGAGAAAAAAGAGAAGAAGAAAGAGAAAGAGAAGAAGACGAAGAGAAGGGTATGAGAAGTGCGTGTACAATGTGCTGAAACAAGTGCACCCAGGGATGGAGATTTCAACAGCGGCCATGGCTATTCTGAACAATCTGATGAATGACATGTTTGAGAGGCTGGCTGATGAGGCAGCAAGGCTCAAGAACTACACAGGGCAAGTAACTCTGTCTTCCAGGGAGATGCAAGGGGCAGTGAAACTGGTTTTGCCAGGTGAGCTTGGCAAGCATGCCAATGCTGAAGGTGTCAAAGCTGTCATAGCCTATCTTTCTTACGATGCCTGATTCTCTTTTGCTTGCTTTTAGAAGGGAAGCTCTTTTGAGGGCTTTTGTGTGAATACGTAGATCACTCATCGCTGTCTATAGAGTGTAGCTGTTATTTTGGTTGTAAAATTTTTTGGCTGTGTATAGTTTCCAGAGAGGAAGTATTTGGGGAATATTGTAGCAGTCACTTCACTATACCGTGCAAGAGCACCAATGTTCCCTCGCTTTGCTTGTGATTACAGTTAATGAACCTGATGCTTATGAACTACGTGCCGAGACAAATTTCCTTTTATTTTCTTTTTATTTACGGACTTTTTTGACTTTAGCACTAATGTAGAGAATAAAAACGGGACGATTCTTGTATTACAGATGAAGCTGGAATACTCTTATCAAACAGGCATACCACTCTGAGATGCATTTCATGAATTGATTTTTCCAAAATGCAGGTTGCACATGATCCATTCCAGTTCGAGAACCATCGGTTTAATTATTTATTACTACTTTCAGTTTTAATTATAAGATCTTATTTTTAATCTGTAAACGAAATCTTATAATTAAGACGAGAGGTGGTATTATTATTTTGTTTGTTATTGTTAAAAACAATGTACAAATAAAATAAAAAGATACAACACAGCAAACCCAATCGGTTTAAGCATTTCGAACATAAGAGTAAAACAATGTCGTACTAAGAGAAAGGCTGGCTTTTGGGACGCAGGTTAGTTCCCTTCCTTCCATAGTCTCATCCCAAAAAGTGAGAGGCGGGGGTTAACTCTCAAGGCAGAATAAATTTCCGCTCAGATTAAAATGGTTGAGATTTAATTCAATTTACATTTTTTTAATTACTTTTTTACTTTAAGAGATGCTGAATTTAAAATAAACATTATTTTTGATTGTAAAAAAAAAAACAAAACTACCACCTAAAAGTCTAAAAATTTAAAAAACTTCAAATGATGATCTAAATTACATTTAGGCAATTCAAACCTTGCATCAACAATAAAAACACTTCGTTATCAATAACGCACGCTAAGGAAGGCTATGACCCACGTGGAATTGCACTGGCCATCCTGCCTTTATCTCCGATAATAATTTAATTTAATCATGCGGGTAGAATGTTCGTGCCAATTAATTCCTTAACCTTAATAAATGTAAGGTTAAAATGGTCCCAAGAGACTGTCAGACGGGTGAAAAAGGCTTATCAATATTAGTTGTCTTGCCAGACTGCCAGCTCAGCAAAAGAAAATTTTAGATAATATAAGTTCCGCAGGTCCTTTCCTGATGAGCTCTAAATCATTTGTCAGGCCATATCAACTAATCAACTAATAAACCTGCTACATACGTACATCCAAAAAAGGAAGGAATTCCAAGATAAATCATCACGATAACATATACGCGGGCCCCTGACGATCCCGTTCAACCGACGAAACTTCAAGCCCCACGTCACACTGTACAACCCCCCCCCCCCCTCTCTCTTTTTCCCCCTCTCTTCTCTAGTCAGCAAACACGAAATGAATGACCAAGATCCCTCCTAAACAAGACGTCAAGAAGGGAACTTCCTACACAGCATATTTATTTTTATTCATTTCAGACATGGGCGGAAAAAAATGCTAGTGTGTTCCATCTGTGCACTCAGCATAAATACAGATATCACGAAATTTGAAGGGAAAAAATATTCCTGGAAAATGTCGAGGATCTACTACCGGTCAGGTTCCTGTATTGTGTTAAAAGTGTGGC